TTGCTGAAGGCGATGAAGAAAACTGGAGTTCCCACTAATGAAAGTTGTGAAGGGAGAAGTGTGGATAAGCTGCTCGAGCAGGCATGGGGAGGCCTGCCCTTCCCCAGCACCAGCAAATGACTGTCTGTGCCTCCCTTCCCCTTTCCTTTTTTTTCTGGCAGAACCAGGGATTGAACTCAGGCCCTTGCGCTTGCCAGACAAGCGCTTATTCTATGAGCCATCTCCCCGGCCCTCCCTTCCCCTTTTCTTTGCTTTCTTTTCCCCCATTCCCTCTCTTCTCTCCCCTCTTGTCTGTCAGTCTGTCTCTTGTCTCTTTCACTCTGTCTTTGTCTCTATCTTTCTCTTGTCTCTCTTTGCCTCTCTGTCTCTCTGTCTCTCTCTCAGAGCCGATAGTGTGTGCGTGCTACCATGCCTCATTAGTGGCAGTGGCTTAAACATTATTGTACTTGTGGACTGTGAAACTCCAGGAGTTTCAGCTCTATTACATTGAGATTCATTGGTGTGATTGGAACTTGGAATGGATTTTTTGTCTTTTTACTTTTTACTGTGAGTGGTAATTTGGAAAATAATGGTCACTAGTTTACAGCCTTCCTCACCTTCACCCATTTCATTTCCCCATCTAAATTATTATCACTAGTCTCATCAAGTTTTTATTATTAATTTATTTTTTAATGTATTTAGCAGAGTATATAGGGTCTTGCTACACAGATGAGACTTGTAGTGATCCTCCTGTTTCCAGCCTCCCAAGCACTGGGATTAAAGGCACGCACCACGACACCTAGTCTCAGTCTTGCTGGAGATTGAACCTTGATCCCTGCGCCTGCCTAATCTGCTGAGCTATCTGGCTGGCCCTCTTATATAGTTTTTAAATGTTAGCTTGTTGCCAGGCTCCTAAGAGTAAATACAAGTTTTCCAATATTCAAAGTTTTGCCTGAAATCTCACTTCTTATCATTGGCAGCAAGTCCTCTTAGCCCTTCATTTGTGCTGAGAAAGCGTTTGCCACGTATCCCAGTCTGCCGGAGTCAGCCGGGATTGGGTGAGGAGGTCAGGTCGCCCACCTGTAGCCCACACAGCTGCCGGAGCCCCCTTTCACAGGCAGCCATTGTCCTTATGCACACTTCTCGTTTCTGCTTTGCTACGCAACCTGTGCCAGGATCAGGGCTGGCTGAAGTTAGTGTCTGCAGTGGAGCGGGTGGCTGCGGGCTGGGGCCAGGGCTGCCAGCTTGGTTCACATGGAGTCCGGCAGCTGTACCCCACTGTGCCTCCTGGCATCCCTCTCTCCAGCAGGCTCGCAGAGGGAGAAGTGCCTCGCTGTCACTGGGGACGATGGCGGGCTATCAGAGTCTGCGAACGCCTTTCTTTGCCCCGGCACCTGAGTTTGTAGTTTGCTCACAGTTTTTTGTGTTCCAGATGGTACAGTGCTGAAATCTGCTCTTTGCGAGGAGGTGGAGGACCTTGCGGGCAGCTCACACGGTCTGCCACCAGCGACGTCGCAGAGGCCACTGTGGGACGGGCCCAGGCCGACCCCCCGGCAGAGGCCGTTCCAGTCGGGGTCCACACCTGCACACCTCACTCACAGGTTCATGGTGCGTCTGGGCCGCGTTCCCTGTCCATCTTGCTCTCCCGTGGTTTTCCTTGCTGTGTTTTATTTGTTGGATAAACAGTGTTTTTAAAAGCCCTGATGGACAGGGCTGTTCCATTTTGTTTAATTATAACTTTATGGTTGATTTAACTCGTAATTTTAATCTTATTTCAATATTATGATGAAGAATCAATTGAATAGAATTCTGCTAAAATGTGGCATAAGGAGCTTAAATAAATGGCTGTCTTTTGCCTACACTTCCAAACCCTCCTTCTGAGAGTGGGAAGTTTGTTTTTTTATACAAGATTATGCTGGTTCCAGAACTAACTAGAAGCTACTTAGGCAGCTCGTCTTGTGGTGTTCAGGAGCGAGATGAGTACTACAGGTGGGACACTGCCCTGGCTGCTCCTGCCCTGGAGTGTGGGCTCCACCCAGGTAGAGAGTGTTCTGGGGGTGTTTGGATGTGGTGCTAGGAGTCAAAGCCAGGGCCTCGTGTGTGTTAGGCAGCTGTTCTGCCGCTGGGCTGTGTCTCCACTTGGTTTTTATTGTTTGTTTTCTAAGCTTATGTCTTAGCATTTAGGACAAGATATGGCATTAAAGGTATTAAATGTGTATTTTTTGAATCAGTGATCAGTTGTATTTCAGTGTATTGACTTTAGAGGTTCTCTATTCTGAGGATTTCCCTGTTTTTTTGAAAAATGTGGCCCTGCCCTATATATTAAGGGTGTGTTTAATATTAATAAAACCGTTGCCATCAGTAACCATGAAGTAATATTAATTTTTATTATATTACTAGTATTAACGTATTTTTATTAACATGTTAGTATAAATTTCTATTGTATATCTTTATAGTTATAGTTAACATTAGTGTGTAACTATAAATAAAATGTCAACATTAATTTTACTAGAAACTCTTAATAGTGAACTTGTAGTGTACATCATTGGAAGATAGTTTTGCAAATGGTATCAATTTGTTTTGCTTTTTTTTGGCGGAACCAGGATTGAACTCAGGCCCTTGCGCTTGCTAGGCAAGTGCGTACTCTCCTGAGCTATCTCCCTTGCCCCTGTGTTGCTTTAAAGTATATAATGTTGGAGCCGGGGAGATAGCTCAGTTTCATAAGTGCCTGCCTGGCAAGCACAAAGTCCTGAGTTTGACTCCTGGTACCTAAAATAAATATGTACATACCTATATGTTTATATCTATCTATCTATCTATCTATCTATCTATCTATCTATCTAATGTAAACTAGTTGGAACAGAAAATGTCTAATGTTATTTGGATCTGTGATACACATAAAATTTTGGATGTGTTTTGAGGAACTTGATTTGTTTTTTCAGAAGTCAATTGTACAATACTTTTTAAATGACAATGATGTAGTTTATTTTTAAATATTAAACATTTCAGATACTAGTAAATAAGCATGTGTGTACTTTAGGTCGGACACTACTTACTGCTGCTCTCTAAAAATACTTAGAGATTCTGCATTACGGTAGCTTCCCTAATTTAAACTTTGATGTAGTTTAAATTACAGTCCTGGCAATTTGTGCAACTGTAGCCGACAGGTTTTTAGAAGGTTGCATTGTTCTCAGCCTTGGGTTTCATCTTCTGTATTTGCAGGTTTGGAACTCTGTTGGAATTATCCGCTGCTATAACGATGAGCAGGACAATGCCATTGATGTGGAGTTCCATGACACCTCTGTGCACCACGCGACACACCTGTCAAACACCTTGAATTACACAGTAGCAGATCTTTCCCACGAAGCTATCTTGTTGGCATGTGAAAGCACCGATGACCTGGCAAGGTAACTTAGGAAGGATTGGACGCTGTTGAACTGCTAGATAGAGTTGTTAATGATAAAAGTTAATAAAATAAAATGTTTGTTTCTACCCTGATCGTCCCCTTTTACCTCTGTTAAGTTGCGTACCAAAGTAATGTGTTCATAACTTGCAGTGGTGTAACTTACAGTGCATAGGAGATGGCGTTACATTTTATATCGTTAGTGTTCTATTAAAGAGTAGCACACATGCATGGACAAGAAAATACAGAATTTCCAGCAAACGGAAGCTTGTGCTGCAAGCCAGGGAGATGGCTCGGTAGAATAAGCACAAGGGCCTGGGTTCAATCCCTGGTTCCACCAAAAAAAAGAAAGCTCATGCTGCGACTCTACTCTCAGATATAAACACTGGATGTGTGTCCTTCTAGAAACATTTTTGTATGAAATTCTTTTTTGTTTTGTAAAATTCTTTTTATTTTGCTTTATTGAGATGATTTTTTTTTTT